CGGCACTAACAAATTTGTACACACCATGTCTGTCAGTGAAGTCTACTGTTGCATTGTAACAAGTCAACAGAATAAATATTTATCAAAACGATGTTGAAAAAATCTAAAGAATTTAGATAATTTCGTTTTAATGTTTATTCGAAGCTACGAATATCTTCAAATAACTAAAAGAGCAAAAAGAATACTTGGCACTGATACTGAGAGAATATTAGAGATGCTAATTATTCGCTATATTTTGCTGACTTTCAAAAGAAAAAGAAAACTGTAAATTTTGAAATAAAGATAAAATAGGTAAAAGAAGGATAAAGACTATTTGATTCCATCATAGTTAGTAAAAAGCATATTTATAGTGATTTCATACTAAATTGCTGAAGAAAGAGCAAGTAGACCTTGAGGAAAATACCCAAAGAAAAGGATGGATGAAAAAACTGGATTTAGCGTACCAAATTTAGCATTACCTAATGATATTACACGTTGAATTGAAAATAAGTGCGTGCGGAAAAATACATAATTATACTAAAGAAGTAATAAAATAAATAATTATAATTCAGATGCCTTGCCTTTGGTAGGTGGTTTTGGCTGTCGCAAATTTATTTCGGACTAAAAATTCCATCATCAAAACTGCAACCTGAAAATATTTATACGGAATAAAGAATAAATTTTGACAGGAAAACTGATAAGTTATTTTTACACACTGTGGGATAAAATTAAAACTACATCTAACAATGGATTAGACAAATAATTATAAATTCTAGGAAAGTACCAAGAGATGACATATACGATGAAATGGAGATACTGAAAGTGTTTTTTGCCCGCCATTGCCAAGACATTAATGAGATTACAAAGCATTCAGTAATGACCTGAGAATGACAAAGTTTATGTTATGACGTAAATCATGCAAACAGGAATTAAAGTCATTTTAAGTTTTTTTTCAGGAAGACACCGAAGTTTGATAGTGTATAGAAGGGGGAAGCTCCGTACCTAAATATCTTGGTTCCCCTTCTTACTCTGAAGGTCTTAAAATATTCTTGTTGTAAGTATTTGTTTTACTTCCCATTCTCACTGGGTTTTAAAATGATACATCAATAATAAACAAGAGGGAAACATTCAATTCAAGAGTTACCATTTTCGGGTCATCTTCATGGACAGTGTGCCCGCAATTTGGTAACACGTGCATCTGAAACTTTCCTGTATGCAAAATAAGTGTACTTAAATGGTTAAGGCGAATGCTGAATAGGGCTTTTGGTCACGCATTATGTTCACCAGGAAAGAAAGAATTGTGAACAAAAAAGAACGAAATTAATCAGTTCAAAAACATTAGAAACCTATCTGAAACAAGGTGAAGAAATTCGCTGAAATTTGACTTCCCATAACAAGGAATAGGCATGCAGCCAAGGTTGATATTGCTTGTGGCATATAAGATACTGGTGGCAATTAAATATCCATTTATAAATAATTAGTCACGAAATTTTGAGCAACGACATACTAATTCGATGTTTATCAAGATGCATCAATGATTTATTTGATGACAGTGCTTCCTAATGCATTAACAACGGAAAGTGACCAGTACAAATTTTGCGGGAAACGTCCTGAACACGTGGAAATGCTTTTTCAATTGTCCATACTGCGAAGGGAAATGATCCATCAAAAACAACAAAGCTTGGGCTGGCCTCTGGTTTCAGCATTAAAGATAAACGGTTGTTAATAAACCCATCATCTGATCGGGTTGATAAATAATTTCTTTCAGCCACGGGTTGAAAAGCCAATGGAACGGACTGAATAAAAAATCAACATTTCACAACAGAAAGTCGCGATTCCCAAATGCACAACGCCTTCTGTAGCTTATTCATCTACAAAATTTCTTGTTCAGATTAGATTGATTCCAGAAACAGTTTTCGTCTTGAACCAGCATACAATGACATACTCCTGATGCAAATCACGATACAAACTACATTGGTATAAATCAAACCGAACAACAACAAAATATAGGTGTTCGCCAAGGCTGCTTGTTATCATCTCGACTACTCATCATAATTCTAAACAATTATGACGAATGCGTCAAAGACTTTGTTGGTAATGTAAAGATACCCCTCCTCCCGTATTCTACAATAAATTCTAAAACTAAAACTTTCAATCGTTCTAACCTTGCATCTGTCCTATAGTTAAATCCTTGTCCAACTCTGCAATCCCTATAAGAAAATGAAATCAATTTGATAATCGTTGCAAACTCAGTATTTTACGACGTCGGCTGAATTTGTTTTCAAAGCTTTATTTGGCTGTGACATAACACAAGATGAGATCGTTAAAGGAATACTACACAACATGACAGGGGAACCAAAAGCAATTTTTTAAAATCTGAGACAGATTTTAATGTTTTAATCAAAAAGTTCATAAGTTGGTAAACTTGTGTATTCAGTCGACTTTTTTTAAATTAAATTTACAAAAAACATCGTGCATACTTGATTTCCTTTTATTTACAAATAAACGAAAATATATACTATTGTGAACTCTAACCTGCAAGCATCAGAAGCTTTGGACAGGCGACGATAAAAACAGTTTTGACATGTCTTGAAACCAACCTGGGAGAGAATTTTTCTGGATTGTCTTTCAAATGCGAATACGAAGTGTTTTAAAAAATTGTCAAAAATTCTTAATTTTACAGCTAAAAAGCTTGACTTTGGGAGGTTTCGATCTTATAAACAGAGCTGCAACTACGAGTTTCGCTCTTAAAGTGATAATTAGGAAGCAGTTGCAGCTTGAATCGCCTTGTTCTATATGCTAAAGTTTGTCAAGAGAAAAGTAATCATCAAATCTTTGGTATCAGTTTGCGATGACTTGTGATGTTTAGTTTTAATTTGCTTTAAAACGGTCTATTGCGTGCTGCATTTTGAGTGGTCGGAAACACAGTATTTCAAGGAAGTTGCACAGTAAAAACAAATTGGATTTGTTTCAATGATGGTTTCCTTTATTTTCAAATTATTGGAGGAGATAAAATTGTCTCCTCACTGTCTCCTGTGGCTTTGATGGCTGGAACATTTTTTGTTGATAATTTGTCAATGGCTGCCTGAGGGCAAAACTTCAGAAGGGACGCTTTTCTCTCACAACGCATGGGATGATGTTGTTCTCTTTCGTTTACGCTCATACTGCAAATAAGGATATTAGCTAAGCTAGGCCAAGGCTTTACCCTGGCTTACCTTGATAAGCATTCTCACTTAGCACTCTAAAAGTTCACATGCTACGGCTGTTAATTGAGATGAACATGACCAATTTAAAGGCCAGGCTCAATGAGATTATTTACGCACTTCCTCCTCTTGGCCGCAATTGTTACTATGTTCTTCAAAACACTACAGAGGAATAATTTGATAAGGCGCCACATATTCAGTGCCTAATTATCAAAGTTGTGGCATAATGCCACATTTCGCAGGCATTTTCAACTCCCCTTTTGAATCGTTTATCACCTTCGCATCGTTTCTCTAGAAACTCCAGCTTACTTACTCGTTCAATAGGCTTTTGCACTCAATATTTTTGCACTTTTGTTACTTTATTTTTTAGAAATACGATGCTTTTATTTTTTCATTGTGAAAATTCGTTGTTTTGAATTTAATCTGTAAGCCCTAATTAATCACCTTGATTGAGTAGGACATCCGTTTTTAACTATTTTCAGAGAAAGTATCTTTCCATGGCTGCAGAGGTAGTGATTTTTCACATAAGACTAGACACATGTTTTTGTTATTTTGATTATTTGTGCTACCATGCAAAAAGGTTTCTTTGCTTCTGAACCACCAAATATATCCATCCTCTGGAAACACATCATCTATCTTACAAATATGCCTTGGGTCAACCCTATACGTCCATTTTTGTTTTGTATCTTTTGATGTGTTTATTAAGTTGGTTTTCTTTTGTAGCTGACTTGAAATTCAGACAAGCCTGAAAAAATTGCCTACGTATGCGGGGCAGCCAGCGAAAAGGGGCTAATTATTAAACGAACTAACTTATACGTAAAAAGTTTTCAAAATTTTGACCTCTTGGAAGAAGCGCTACTTGAAAAAATTGTCTTCCTAGTTCATTTCCTTCTTTCAAAGTTTCATTTATCAATAAATTCTTACTTAGCTTTTTTAAAAAACATAACAATGTAATCTCAAAATGTTAGTTCAATCTACTAATGAAATTTTGATACCATGATTTTTTTAAATTTTTATTATCACATTTTCTTTTGAGTCAATTTTTCTGAAGTAAGCAAACTATTAAAACGTTTTTGCAATTGCACAAAGCAGAAAAACATCAATAGGAATCTTGATATGTTCAGATACTTATCAATCAAGTGTTGTTAGAGTTTAAGTTGTTAAATCACCTACTTAAAGCTGTTTATACTCCTCTATATTGAAGCTAAAAGCTTTTACGATCTGAAATTCAGACGAACTCTTTTTTAAGATCTGAAAAGCTCTTTTGCAGGTAGATTGTGCCTTAACTCGTTTGATTTGGAGTTTTGCAAAACCGTAAAATAGCCGCTTTATTTAATATAACTACGGAGTTTCGTGCTGTGGTTTTATCGCAATGCTTTTGTGATGATTTTCAAAAACCACGGATTGCGTCAACAGCTTTCTTTTATTTCTATTCATAAGCTGCAAAAACCTGTACTGTGTTTTTAAATTTCATCATTTGCTTAAATTAACTTTATTCTATCGCATTATTTTCTCAAACACTGTTGTTTATTTATTGTCCTATATGGTGATGTCACTCACTATTTCAGCATCGTAGCTTACATATCTACGAACCTACATAAAATTCAAAATAAAGGAAATTTTGTGAGCTTTTCTAGCATCTGAGTGCCGTTTGACTTTAAAACTTTGAAAAACAGTGAATTGGTCCAAATCGATGTCTAAAATGTGTTGTTTAAACGATGGAATTCGTTTAAATTCTTGGGATCTGTTTTTTTCTTTTAGGGAAAATTACCCTAAACGTTAGAGAATTAAAATTATAAACCAATTAATTTATTGTGGTCCCCAGTATCATCCAGGTATAGCAATTTGGTTGTTCAGTAATAATATACTTAGAGATATAACATTAAAATACAGATTTGAATAACCTTCAAAATATGATTCTTTTGGTCGTAGACGACTTTTGAACAAAATAGAAAAAGAGCAAGTTGATACCTCATTCACAATTAAGGCAATGTACACAAGATTCTGCTGGTGTGTTAAGCTTGAGTATCAGCATATGGCATATTGTGGGAAACAAGGATATATCCTTAGCCCTCTGCTCTTTAACATATTGATTGATGTCACACAAGCAATTTTAGGCTCGAGAATATTGTCTTTTTCACTGATTGTCGGTTGCTTATTATCCCGTTTATGCCAAGCCTTCTCTGCGAAACTATCCTCTTGCAAAACTTAGATTTTGTAAAGTGATGCTTTGTGTGGCGATGTCACTTGCCAGTTCTTTTTTCCTACCTCCTTCAAGCTGTTGTGCTTTGGCCTGCAACTCTTTTTAAAGCTGGCAATTTTGTGTTGCTTTCAAAAGAGGAAGTTATTTTAACATATGCATAAGAGCCCGTTTACACAGGAGCGCTACAAGCCGGCATCGACCCCGTCTCGTGTAAACGCCGGTGTAATATGTGTTTTGGTACCCTATGCAAATATGTAACATTGTGAAACGCAATGTGTTTCAAATCATGTGATTTCATCGTAGTGCGATATTATGACACTTTATAAATAACAAATTGAACACAATGCTTTTTGAGTTTAAAATTTAACATTTTTCAATTAAGAAAACTTTGGAGTCGCCATTAATGTTTTACTTTTTTGTATAAACTTAACAAGGGAAATCACAGCACCGCTTCTTGTTAGTAGCCTCTTGTTAGAAATAGTTCCATTGTTCTTTACATTCTGAACAGTATGAACCAGAACATTTGTGTTCCCAGACCGGTTCGCATGCTAAATTCCACCATTCGTTTCGGTTCCCTGTTTTTTAAAAGCTTTGGTACATTTTTGTATAAGCAAAATAGTCATGCGTTTGTGTACCGGGACCGTTTTGCATGCTTATTTCCACCATTCGTTTTGGTACCCTTTTGTTTAAGTGCTTGGGTACGATTTTGCATAACCAAAATTGCCATGCGTTTGAGTACCCGGACCGAAATGCATAAGGTTACCGAAACGCATATGACACCGGCAAAGGTGGAATCGATCCTAATTTGGCACGGATAAGAATCGAGGCTCGTTTACTATGCAATTTGATATGCTTTGAACATGGTGCTTTGACCTTGTCTTTATCAAATTTTGTGCGCCTTGTTCGTCCAAAAGATGAGAAAAGCAAAACGAGATGGAGAAGGTTTTTTAGTTTTCAGGAGTTTATCAAAAAAATTAGCGAACAGGCTCCAACTTATGAGAGTGATTTGCTTTGTACATTAATGTTTGATCATCAGCAGTAGAGCCGTTCCTTCATCGCTTCAATAACATTTTTTGATAATTTTCAATTCGAAACCATTTTCTTCTCAATCTTCCTACAAAGAACTTTCTTCTCAATCTTCCTTCAAACCATTTTCTTCTCAATGTTCTTTCAAACCATTTTCTTCTCAATCTTCCTTCAAACCATTTTCTTCTCAATCTTCCTTCAAACCACTTTCTTCTCAATGTTCTTTTAAACCATTTTCTTCTCAATGTTCTTTCAAACCATTTTCTTCTCAATCTTCTTTCAAATCATTTTCTTCTCAATCTTCCTTCAAACCATTTTCTTCTCAATGTTCTGTCAAACCATTTTCTTCTCAATCTTCCTTCAAATCATTTTCTTCTCAATCTTCCTTCAAACCATTTTCTTCTCAATGTTCTTTCAAACCATTTTCTTCTCAATCTTCCTTCAAACCATTTTCTTCTCAATCTTCCTTCAAACCATTTTCTTCTCTATCTTCCTTCAAACCATTTCTTCTAAATTTTCCAACAAACTATTTTCTTTTCAATCTTCCTTTAAACCATTTTCTTCTCAATCTTCCTTCAAACCATTTTCTTCTCAATCTTCCTTCATACCATTTTCTTCTCAATCTTCCTTCAAACCATTTTCTTCTCAATCTTCCTTCAAACCATTTTCTTCTCAATCTTCCTTCATAATCTTCTCAATTTTCTTCTCAATCTTCCTTCAAACCATTTTCTTCTCAATCTTCCTTCAAACCATTTTCTTCTCAATCTTCCTTCAAACCATTTTCTTCTCAATCTTTCTTCAAACCTTTTCTTCTCAATTTTCCTACAAACCATTTTCTTCTCAATCTTCCTTCATACC